TACAGTCTTCATGCCACGATCCACTCCACCCTTCCAGAGTGTTCAGGGAGTCTCAGATGTGAACCCAGAACCTTCCATGTGGGTCAGGGTCACAAGGCATTGAGTTGCTGCTGCCACCATCTAGCCCTCTATTACATATTATTTTTCTTAGCTGCAAGAGGGTACATGTGCTCACCAAAGAGAGACACAGATAGATAAACAGAGAGGGAGGAGAAAGCACCTCCCAATGGGGCATGATCATGCTGCAATACATTCTCTACTTCTCCATCCTTTTAGGACTTTAGGCCCACATACATCTGTGCCTGGCATTTTTTTCAAGCTACCAGGGCCAAGTTTTGAACCACGGTTGGTCACATGGCATCACATTCCCTTAACAATTAGGCTACAAGGTTAGCCCATAGATTTCTTAAAAGGTGCAATTTAACAGGTCATCTGGCTTGTTCACATCATGGGGAGGGAGTGGGGATGGTCTGCGGACATTCCGCATGGTAAGTCCATCTTATCATCATTGGCAGGTGACTTCTCGCTGCCTCACAATGCCCATCCTCTCAGAAGGTCCTGCGTGCCCATGCGAGTTACTGTTCATTTTACTTTCAGAGTTTCATTCATGTCAGCACTTACCAAGTTTTTTAAGTGCATTTTTTTTTGGGGGGGGGGGCTTCATTTTTCTCTCTCTTACCAGTAAAATCCTTAGGGCAAGGACTTTTGTTTTTCAAATCCCAGTACCTTGCAGTTTCTTGTACATTAACATGTTTTCTAAATGTTTCCAAACTAAAACAGTTAACTAATGGTATTGTCAAGTAACAAATTCCAGTGTAAACCTCCTCACTAGTGAAGAGGAAGTGGGTAATAGTGTCCTGTAGTCGACAAACAGGAAGTCAGTCCCACCACTGACAACGCAGACACGAGAACGAAGCTGTCTCAGCGGGTGTCAGCAGCTCGGTGAGCCAGAGCTTGGCGTGGGTTGCTTTGATCATGTTCCCCAGGGCTTCTGTGAAGAAGTTGATATGAAAGCTCACAAAGGTGGTAAATTCAGAATATTCTCTATCTATGTTAGAGTTAGATTTTTTTGATGATAGGTGCCTTAAAAATGGTAATTCATAAAATAATAATTCACTAGAAATCGTTTGTGCTGTCAGAGGTCACCATATATAAGCTTGCATTTGCAGGAGGGTTTGCCGGGGGCGGGGCCCTGGCAGCCAGGTCTACACTGCACCATCTCAGCCCCATCATGAACGAGCTGATCCACCTTTCACCAGTCTTTGTTCATTAGCGAGGACTCCAGCCTTCTCCTCGTGGAAACACTGGCCGACAAATAACGAACACGGGTCTGCCTGTAGCTTTATCCCTGAGAAGCATCTCTCTTAACACAGAAGGAAAAACAACTGATCCAAAAATGCCAGCGAGTGCTCAGTTTCTGAAGAGCCCTCAGGGCCACCAAGCTGAAATGGCCCGGTGTCAGGGAGACTGCAGACTTCACTCTAAATGGGCTGCTGCGAAGGGAAAGGAGGGCTTGGCAGCCAGAATGCGGGGCCACCAGCAGAACCGCGTGGTCCAGGCCACGCCGGCAGCGGGTGCCTGCCACGTGGGGCTTATATCACCGGAGCCCGCCCTGCTAGGCTGGGCGGTTGCAGACGACCTGGTCCTGCCCGGCGTTGCTCGTTCCGGTCTCTATGACATGGAGAGGCGGCAGACGTGGTGGTGACCCACGCACCGCCCTGTGACCCTGGGGAGACGTCAGAGCCAGCAGCTGGACCCCGTAAGAGCTCCACCCCTCCCCAGGCCAGGCTGACCACACACTCCTGAAGGCTGATGGTCCTAGCCCAGAATGCCTCGGGAGGAAGTCTGCTTCGAGAACAGCCCTAGGACCCGGTCAGACTCCCAGGACGGATTCCCACGGTCCTGGGGTATCACTGCCTGTCCAGGGCCGCCCTCCCCGGCTGGAGCTGGCAGAACCTCTGCCTGCCAGGGCAGGCCCCTGGGAACTGCAGCCGGGTGACACTCTCGCCTCCCTCCCCGGGAGCCTCTACCCAGCCGCTCCGTTGGCTTTAACGCAGGTGGCAGCGTGGGTAGTTGGTGGGGCATCTCAGGGACATGCCTCCAGCCAGCGAGCCACCCCCACATCTCACTCTCATTTGCTCACAACTCAGCAAAATAACGAAGACTGAAGGGGCCGCAGTGGGACAACCGAGGCCACGCATTCACGGAACGAAACCTAAGGCAGCTGCTGCGTCCAGGACCGCGGTCCCCACATGGTGCTCTGCACCAGGCACTGGCGGTCGGGCGAGGGAGGTGGCTCTGGGGGAGGCCCCAGGGCTGCAGGGGGGTCTGAGAGCCCCTCCTCGCTGGGTCTCCCCTTCTTGCTCACACCGCCTGCACCCCAGCCGCACCCTTGGGCCTCCTGGTCAAGCCGCATAGAGTCCTGCCAACAGGCTGGCCCGCTGTAGCCGCCCTTCCCTGTTCTCCGCAGAGCAGAGCCCGGAGCCGGGAGCGCAGGAGGGCCGCGAGGGGTCCTCGCTCTTGTTACTCGTAAGCACGCATGACGTGGTGCTGTGAGCTGTGCGTGTTTTCTCTTCCCCACAACGTCCCGGTCGCTGTGACCGCAGCATCGCAGCTGAAGGACAGAGGCCAAGCCGCTTCCCCAGGACCACAGAGCTGCAGGAGGGGCTGGCTCTGAGCCTGAGACCTCATGATTCCTGGAGGAAAAGACCCATGTGAAAGGCGGTGCATACCCACATACCCACTGCGGCTCGGGGCAGCCTCTGCTGTCGACCACGGCAACGGAATCGGCTGTGCCCGGGGCTCGTCACAGTGCTCGCAGGCCAGTGGGGGCCACACAGCTCCTTTCGGTCTCCGAGGTGGACCTGGCGCACCCCTTTGTGTCTTGCCCTGTGCCGGGGCGCCATGCCCTGTGCCAGGAGCCCTCGCCCTGTGCCGGGGGCCCTCGCCCCTCGCCCGGTGCCGGTGCCCCGTGCGCTGTGCCGGGAGCCCTCGCCCTGTGCCGGGGGCCCTCGCCCTGTGCCGGGGGCCCTCGCCCTGGCAGCACACACCTGTAAGGGCTAGGACCTGCACTGTCCCTGTGAAGACAGGCCCTGGGAGCCAGGAATATCCTGGACTCAGGCCTGGCCTGCCAGGCTCAGGGACACACAGAAAAGGTCGTGGGCATCCGAGACCTGGTCGGACCTCGTTCTTCACCTGTGCCTGGCCAGAGTCGAGGCACTGCTGGGGCCAGAGTAGTCTGCCTCCTTGCTCAGGGTCATCACCAAACAGCCTCGGGGCTGATGGCGGCGCTGGTGAGAGAGGGCGGCACACAGCCCGGGCACAGCCATGGTGAGAGGGCAGTGCACAGCCCGGGCACAGCCATGGTGAGAGGGCGGTGCACAGCCCGGGCACAGCCATGGTGAGAGGGCGGTGCACAGCCCGGGCACAGCCATGGTGAGAGAGGACGGCACACAGCCCGGGCACAGCCATGGTGAGAGGGCGGTGCACAGCCATGGCAACATGCCGGGGCTGGACTGGCATGTACAGGCAGACCAGGTGTGTTCCTGCTTCCCACAGGTCAGCATCACGCAGGTCCTGCTAGCTCCGGGGTCCTGCCCAGCTCCGGGGTCCTGCCCAGCTCAGGGGTCCTGCCCAGCTCAGGGGTCCTGCCAGCTGGGGGTCCTGCCCAGCTCAGGATCCTGCTCAGCTTGGGGGTCCTGCCAGCTCAGGGTCCTGCCAGCACACACCCTCTGGAAGGGATGTGCAATTCTAGACGTGCGTGTTGCCTGACACGCCGGCCAGCATGGGTGTGACTGCTGCACCACCAGGAGCTCAGGGACGTCAGGGACAGTGTGACCCGGTTGCTCCAGGCTCTCCAGGGCGCCCGTGGTCTCTGATGACTACAAGGCGGAGAGGGAGGGATAGCTGCCTCCCTGTCTTAGACCAGCACAGCCTCAGCCCAGGAGTGTGGTCGTGCGAGTGGATGTGAGCCACCTGGGCAGCGGGGACACCTGACCTGCCGTCAAATCCAGTGCCCACGGTAGCCAGGCCTGGAGACTGCCCCACGTCTGTGCTGTTTGTGTGATTTTTGTTGCCGGAGGGTGTGTGTGCTTCCCAGAGAGAGGCAAACAGGGTGGGGTGAGGGTGGGGACACCCCGGGGTGTGGTCATGCTGCAGTCCCTTCTCTGATTCTGCCCTGCTAGGATTTGGGGACGCACACACATGGGCCCAGCGTGTTTTCAAGCCACCAGGGCTGGTATTTGAACAGCACAGCTGTCATGTGGGGTCTGGCTCCCCTGGCACCGAGCCCAAAGACAACAGTCCCTGCTCTCTCTCTCCCAGGAAACCCAAAGTGAGACAGCCCCCACGAGTCATCACGGCCCACACTGCCCTTCCACTGGAAACGCCACTGAGGCCCGGCCATTCCACGGGAGTCCCTCCCACCTGAGGACTCGGAAAGTTTGGCAGTGGGTACAGCATGCTCCTTTCCGGGTGCCCGCGGGAGCCTAGCCTGGGTGCTGGAGGCAGGCTTGTTTCCCCAAGGCTTGCCCACCTATCTGTCCACTGTGGGGTCCCCATCAGCCCCTCTCCCCGGCCTACACAGGCAGTTGGTGTCCTAGCACCCTGGGCTGCGCCAGGGGAGGTGTGCTAAGGACAGGCCTCCTAGGACACAGAGGCTGCATGGCCCCCGTCAGGGCCAAAGGCAGGGCCCTCCATGTGCCCTGCATCGGTGCTCAGGTCACCGCTGCCCTGTCCCCCTGCAGGGTGGAACCATGCTGCGCTCGGCCGCCCAGTGCTTGTCCCAGGAAAGAGCTGGGCCTTCATCCTTGGGATCACTCCCACGGGCAGGAGCAGGGAGCGCGGCACCTCTAACGGCTGCACCATGGAGCCCCGTGCCCCGTGCCGCCAGCAGGCAGAGATGTGCACCAAGACCCCAGAGCCAGAGCCAGGAGGGCGTCCGCCGAGCCTGTGCGTGGCAGCACAGACACACCGGCTCCCGGGATGCGCCGCGACTTCACCTTAGCCAGGGCCTCGCCGTGCCTCGTCCTGGGATGCGTGCCTGCGCTCGAGGTCAGTGACAGGGCCCCCAGGGACGGCAGGTAGCGCTGAAGGGTCTCAGCCAAGGCCACGCTGTTCTCCGGGTGGCGCCTCCTTTCATTTTCAACGTTTAGTTTCGGGGTCCTGAAAAGCAAAAGGAAAACTTGAATCGACCATGAGGCTGGTGCAGGCCGGCAGGTCAGAGTACATGTGAGGGAGAGGCCCGGGCGCCACCCCTGCCCGGCCAGTTCCTCTCTGTGCGCTTGGACTGCGGGTCGCGGTCCCTACCCACCTCCTGGTCCGGTGCCCTGACAGGAGGGGCACGAGGGGTGCCTTGGCACCGCAGTGAGGGGCTGACCAAAGCGTGTCCCAGCAACGGCCCCTCCAAGGGCGAGGAAGGGACAGAATGAACACCTGGGACACGACCGGAGGATCACGGCTGCACGGTGTGGCTGGTGCCACAGAGCCCAAAGAGGCCTGGGGGCTGGCACGCAGGCAGGCCCATGACGGGTGAGACCCCTGAAGAAAGCCCTGAGGGTGGAGCCGGGACGTGGTGGCCTTCAGACGCTAGGACAGGCTGCACGGGCTCTCCCCAGAGCCTGCAGAGGGGCTGCTCTCCCCAGCACTCGGTGGAGCCGCCACCCTCTGCGATCAGCCCTGCTCGGCTCTGGGGCTCAGCCCCACTCAGTTCCGCTCAGCCCCGCTCAGACCCCGCTCAGACCCCGTTCAGCCACGCTCAGCCCTCGCTCAGCCCTGGGGCTTAGACCCGCTCAGCCCTGGGGCTCAGTCCCGCTCAGTCCCCACTCAGTCCCGCTGAGCCCCCGCTCAGTCCAGCTCAGTCCGGCTCAGCCCTGCTCAGCCCTGGTGCTCAGCCCTGGGGCTCAGTCCTGCTCAGCCCCGCTCAGCCCCGCTCAGCCCCACTCAGCCCTGCCCAGCATCTGCCAGAGCTCCCGCCCACCCTGTCTGCCCTCCAGCTGGCACTGAGAGGCACAGTGGCCTGTTCCCTGTCTCCGTCCCCACCCTCCCTCCCTGATGTCCTGTCCTAAAGCCAGGTGCAGTGTCCTCAGAGGGAGGAAGCTTCGACCCTGCAGTCCCGCATGCCAGGAGCAGGGGGCAGTTTAACAGCTTCAGGACACACCCAGGGTCCGTTGTGGCGGGGCTGACGTGCACTTTCTGAGGTGACCTGGTAGAGCACGTGCCCTGACCTCCCAGACATGGGGTACGAGGTGAGGTGGGCCCAGTCACTGCATGGTCCAACTTCTCCAGCCACCCCGGCTCTCACCTCCCCACGAGGCCCTCTGCACACTGCAGTTCAGGGTCTGCCCCCACACCCGCCTACACCGCATCACCCGGGCTGGGGTCCAGACCCACAGAGCCCAGAGTCACTGCCCAGACCCTCCAAGCAGCTTAGGAAGGAGGTGCCGTCCACTCGCAGGCCGGGGATGAGGCCAGACAGAGCCTCACGAAGTGAGTCCACGCCAACGCTGGCCTAGAGGGTGCAGACGGAGCGCCCTGGCCCTGGGGTGGGACCCAGCCCTGCCAGTGCTCTGCAGCCCATACTATGGGCAGAAGCACTTTTCATGCCACAGAATCCTCCCAGGGACCCTCGCGCACACATGCATGCCCAGCGTGTGGGCAGGCTGACAACGCGGAGAAGCCGCAGAGCATCCTCCAGGTCAACGCCTCGAAGAGGGCACCTCTGGTTCTACACACAGATCCCACAGGACACAATCACACGTCACAGCACTTGAACTGTTCACACTCACGCAGAACATGCGGGTTCGCACACGTGAGCGTGTAGACACGCACTTCTCAGAGCGCAATGCTGCAGTTCGAACAAGGTCGCCTGTAGGCAAAGGCTCGGGCTCCCTCCAGACACGGCGTGACATCAGTGCTGGCCCCACAGAGGTGCAGCTCAGCTCAGGAGCCACGGGGACGGCAGCACTGGGGAGTCTGTCCCTTTCGCACATCACGCACCCACCCTGGTGGTCAGGAAGCCGCGCTTCACAGGCAGGGCCGGCCGGTCTGCGTGGGCCTCTGGTGTGATCTGACTCTCAGAAATGCGTCTGGGGCCCATGCGAGGTGCAGCAGGAACATGCCCCACAGGAAGGGCCCGGGTCTGCATCCTGAGGCCTCCCTATGGCCCTGGGGCAGGTGCGTGCACACCTGTGACCTGGACGGACGAGGCCGGGAGGACTGCAGTGTGAAGACCCCTCCCACCGCACAGATGAGCAGCAAAGGAATCAGGCTGGGGCTCAGCTGCAGGCAGCGAGGATGAGCCGGCACGTCAGGCCACACCTGCGCACGTGTTTCATAAAAGCTGAGACTGACAGAAAGCCTCTGGTTGGGTCTGTCTCGGCTGAGAGTGCTCTGTTTCTAGGGCCTTCTCAAGTTCTGCTGGCCCAGACCTACTAGGCATGTAAATTATCAAGCACCTCACGGATCACGGTGTTCTCCTGGGCCCCGTTGCATGGGTGAAATCTCATGTGCCACAGTGTCTTTGGAGTGGAACTTCGCTGGTATCCATGCACCCTCCACGCTTTGTCAGTCTCACTGATTAATCGATGCGGGTCGGGCCACCGCGCGATGTGTCTCACGGGGCCCTCTTTATCTCCTGACACCACGTCCAGGAGCCTCGCAGTTACACAGCCATTCCCGGGTGTGTCCCCACCGCGGCGGCAAGAACCCACGGGCTGGCCCTGTACTGCACCAGCATGAAGCGGTGAACGCCGAGTCTCACTCCCTGCGTCCGGAAGGTAGAGCCCCACTCAGGAGGACACCGTTCCTTCCACACTGACCTTCAGTGTCCCATGACAGGGCATGCCTCCACTTCTCGCCAACTTGGAGGCAAAAATCCCACTCAGGAGAACCTCTCTGCAGGGGGTTCACATGTGCTGGTCCCCGCGGCCTTGCTCGGTGATCGCTGCGGGCCCGTTTTATGGTCAGGCATGCTCTCGCGCCTGCGGGCCTGCACACGTGCTTTCCCGGTCCCGGTCCCGGTCCTGCTCTGGGGCCTGTAGCCGGCAGCATGTTCTTGGGTCCAGGTGGCTGTCATGTACACACCTGCCCCTCACCTGGCGCCCAGGAGCACCGCCCCACCGGGAGCAACCTGGGCAGGAGCGTGGGCTGCCCTGCGCCTGGGTTGGCAGCCCGGAGGGGCCCCGTTGGCCAGGCCTGGACCACGCTGTGCAAACAGCCTGTCCACGAGGCCACTGGGCAGGGTGGGGAGCAGGGTCATGACAGGCAGGTGCTGTGGCAGGGTGCCTCGTCCCACGATTCCACTCAGAGCCCAGGGCTGTCCCTCCTGACCACACCGGGCACTGAGGTGGGCCAGCTGATAGAGACTTCCACACTGTGTGAGACACAGACGCCACCAGTCCTCCCTGGAAAGATCCTGCCTGGAAACGGGCCACACGAGAAGAGGTTCTCAGATGGGCGGAGGCCACGCACGGGCGTCCACGAGGGGTTCCGTCTCTGGGCTGTCCTTCTCAGCTTCTCCTCTCGCCTGGCATTGGAGACAGACCGTGGAGGGGGCATGTCCTCTACGGCCACACTGACGTTGAAATGGTCACAGATGCCGGCCAGACGGCGAGCCAGCAGGGCTCGGGCTGCTCTGGGCCACCCTGTTCGTGTCTCAGACAGTTCTGGCCAGAAGGTGGGGGCGGCTCCTCTCCCGTCTTTCAGTTCCCGCCCCGACACTGGGAGCTACTCCCTAGTCCCAGCTCTGCTGCCCCTCTCTCCTCCCAGGCCACCCACCCAGCCCGGAGCTCCGCGGAGGCCGTGGGGACCCGGCAATGGGCCACTACTGCCCAAGAACAGCGTAAAAGCAGTGTGGAGAGCCCCACCCACTCGGGAACAAGGATTCAGACACCAGTGGGCCGGCCCGATTCCATTTCATAGAGACATTCTGGGGTGTTCCAGACAGGTGCCACTCTTGCCCGTGATGGAGCAGGAGTGTGGCCACAGGGAGACGCTGCACGTGGGTTCACGTGTGCCCTGAGTGACCGTCACGGTGAGGTGGCTGCCCGCTTGCCTACAGTGGGCATGGGCATCATGGCGGACAGCAAACTGTGTTTCGGAACTTTCTAACTAGGGACTGCATTCTAGAACATTCTGTCTTAGAGGAAAATGGCTTTGCAAACTAGACCTTCCAGGAAAGTGCTCCTTGTGTGTTTTAAACATGAAAAGTGGCCCAAAGGCCAGCTAATCACACGTTCTCACGGCGGCCTGTCTCTGGACTATTCTCAGTGTCCTCTGAGGAGGGGACACTGCTGGCCACTACCCACGGTCTGTGGTGAGGACGAAGTTGGAGGTCAGAGCAGGTCCTGAGCTCAGGCAGGACAGGGAGGATGAGGACCGTGTGATGTGACCCTGCTTTTGCACCTAGGTGAGCCGTCTCTTCCCGAGAAAGGAGAGTCTTGAGCTCTCTTTGTCCCGCCGGGCTCTGCGGGTCCAGGGTGCTTGCGAAGGTCTCTGGGAGAGGTCCCTGGCGCGTCTCTCCCTGAGCGCAGACCTTGCCAGAGGTCACTGCAGCCTACCTTTCTCTCTCAGGCTAGGGTCAGCCGAAAAAGGGAAGCCCCCTTCTGTGTGGCACCCGACCTGCAGAGAGGCCACATTAAAAACGAAACACAACAGACAGTGGACAAGGCCCGGGGCTGGCGGGCGGTGACCATGTCCACGTTTACCTGGCTGGGGTGGAGGCGTCGGGGCGCTGTGGGCGCACGCTGGGCACGTCTGTGAGCTCCTGGGCTGTCACATGCTGGGTGTAGTCATCCTGCCACGTGAGACCTGCAGGGAAGACGGGACGCTGTGAGCGACGTGGACAGCTAGCCCGAGCTGTGCCATCAGCCCAGAGTGCCCCATAGCTGGTGCAAACTGAAGCCTGCTGTGGCTCAGACGCCTGCCTCAGCTCTCAGGGGCACAGGTCCGAGGATGGCGGACACCTCGCTACATTAACAATAAGTAATCGAACAAATAGGACAGAGCCGTCGGACTGCACAGCAAGGAGCCTCACTAATACGAGATCAGCCGGAGGACAGACGGACCCTTTACCTGGAAGGTTCGGGTCACAGCAAAGACACTGCTAACCCACGCTGCGCTCACTGACGGGCGCCTGCCCCCTTATCTGCCCGCCCGCAGTGTCCCAGGCTCCCGGCGCTGGTCCGCCCAGCTGCTCGGTGCTCCAGAGCGGGCGTCCGGAGTAGAACAGGGCAGTTACCGCGGGCACCTATGGCGGGGCTTAATGTACCACATCTGGGAGCCAATCACATTATATCGACACTCAAATGTTATGACAAAGAGCTTTGTGACTCGGGTGAAGGAGTTGTGAAGGCAAAATCCACGTGATTATGCATTAATTACATGCACTGAGGATCACATGGTAATTATGCTCAGAATTACCAAATAACTCCCAAGAATAATTATTATGAATTTGTGCATTTTAGATCTTATGGTAACACTTCAGCACTTAGAACTACCCCGTGCAATTACCCATAATTATCTAATCACTAAATATCATGTAATTACAGAGAGATATTTTATGCCCTGTACAAAAACACATTACCAAGATCTTCAAGTCAGGACGGCTCTGAGGATGACTGTGTGTGCATACGTGCTGTGGAGGTGTGTGCGTGTGCGAGTGTGCATGCGTGTGTGCAGTAAGGAAGTCGGGCTTGCTAAGAACCACGCGCTCCAGATGCGGTTACAAGGAGGGCTCATGGATCCCGCTGCCTTCTTGAGCATCCTTAAATGCTCTTTCAAATGCAAATCTAAGCTTTTTAAATTTCACGGATGGCAAGATTTCAACACCTGCCATATTTCTACGTGTCCAAAAGTTCAGTGGCATGCCCACCATGGGAGTCCACTCTGCCAGCCAGGGTGGCCTCCAGCTGGCCTAACGGTCCTACTTGGAGCAGGCAGGTCCGCGTGGCAGCATGGGAATGGCCACACGGGGGAGACGGGCCTTCCTTCTCTTCTCTGCCCTGACTAGAGAGCCGCTGTGGGAAGAAGGCCCAGGTCTCTGCTCCCTCCTCAGGGCCGCATAACCTCGCAAAGAAGCCCATCACATTCTCAAAGGCTGCTTGAGACACTGTGAGGCATACGTGTGCGTGGCCACACCGCCCATCCCAGGGGCCATCTCTGTTGAAAACATGCAGAAGTGTTCCAGCCACGCCACTCCAAGAGGGTAGCCTGAGTCCGCACTCCACCAGGAAAGGGAAAATCGAGGCAGTAGAGAAACTTCCCGTGAGAGCATTCGTTCGACATTTAAGTAACGGAAATTCTGTGGCGTGTTTATGGAGGGCACAGGCAGCTGCCACGCGGGGGGTCCCTCCCGAGCAGGCGCCTGGGAC